TTCATGTGAACCCTAACAGCTGATCCTTCATTAGATACGCTTGTGTCTCCGAGACCCATAACAACTGTCGACGACCAGGTTTTCCTTAACTGAAGTCTCTAGGCGAAATAGGATGTGACCATGTGCAACTTCGAGCAGTTAAAACAAAGGGCCAATTTCTTGACTACCTTATGCCGAAGGTATGGAGACAAGTTTCCAATTTTACTACATGTGTATCTACACCCGATGCCAGATGACCAGACGCATCACAAAAATTGCATCCATTTCGGTTAGTCTCAGCTACAAGCACTTTTTTGCTGTCGTTAGTGCTATGGTTGGATTTGTCCACCTGATAGTTGGTTATATGGAATGACATAGCATTTTGCCCGTTCTCCAGCCTTTGACTACGCCTTTCCAGAAATGTGAAGAACACAACGGCTGTCGGAATTTTGTCAATGCCTGCGGCTTCCTCCCATTTGGTCTGAGTCTGGGTGACCAACCTTTATAGCAGCGTGTGCACTATTATGCATTCTGAAATTTGCTCCAAACTGCCCAAAGTCTCTAAGGCACGCATACGCGAATTGTCCTTGTCCGACAACTCGCGCACTTTTGAAGCCGACTCCGATTCTCCCCTCTTGAGCCCAAGAATCTCATTGATGTGTCCCTGGAAAACAAGACGCTTGTTAGTAAATCTTATATTAAGGATATCCAAAGATACACGATATTTGGCACCGGAAAACTCCAAAGATCAAACCGAATCCACCGCAGGGCCAGACAAACATGAGCGAAAATTCTGTAACCTTTCAATATTACACAGCTCGGTATCGTTGTCGATAACTGACTCAAACATCGCGATGATGTCCGAATATTCGGAATAGCCACCGGAAAACGTTGGGAATTTGAGCTCGGGCAGGCGCGTTCAGTTAGCCAAGATCATGGTTTGGTTTAGCTAGATGACGAAGGGTTGAGCGGGGAGGGCCGTTAGATTGACGACGCTGAATATTTACGTGAACGCGAGCTTCAACTATGGCAATCAACTCGTCAATATCATCGCGTAATTTGCTGCCAATTTTATCGAAATTTAGCTCTTATAACGAGTTATGCGCGGCATTAAAGGCAGACTTACTTTGAACAATTGGCAATAGGCGCACTTCTTAGTCGACGGGACAAGAGCTGATAATTTTATCCTCATATAATTCATTTTTAATACACTTGGCTCGCTCGAACAATGCATCCGCCTTGCGCTTAAGAAAAGATACCCTGTTTGCCTGCATATCATTTCGGTTCTCGCCTTGCATCATTTTTTCACAAGCACAAAATCAGAGCATCAAACTGAGCATACAACATGCGACGAATTGTGCAGCTGCTTATGTACTATCGTATGTATGTATATACACTTCCGGACGGAAGTCCAACTGACTTACTTCACTCTTAGGAGTGAGGCCGGCAGCAAACAACGAGGTACTGTGCGGTCTCTTAAGCCGGTCACGACCCAAACCAAGAGGAGTTTTCTGTAGAAAAGGTAAACCTGGCAAAAGCACAATTTTCTTAACAGACAAAAGCTCATAGAAGAGACTCGCTCCAATTAAGAGGTCCACTCGCTGTGGTTTGTTCAACGCAGGATCAGCCAACCTTATGTTCTAGGGAATTTACCAGTCTGATGTTTCGATGACGAAGCTGGGCTGACTATCGGCAATTGTTGGAGTCCCAAGAGCATCAAAGGTGGCTGAATAATCTGAGTCGTGACTTCATGTGAAGCCTAACAGCTGATCCTTCATTAGATACGCTTGTGTCTCCGAGACCCATAACAACTGTCGACGACCAGGTTTTCCTTAACTGAAGTCTCTGGGCGAAATAGGATGTGACCATGTGCAGCTTCGAGCAGTTAAAACAAAGGTCCAATTTCTTGACTACCTTATGCCGAAGGGATGGAGACAAGTTTCCGAATTTATTACATGTGTATCTACACCCGATGCCAGATGACCAGACGCATCACAAAAATTGCATCCATTTTGGTTAGTCTCAGCTACAAGCACTCTTTTGCTGTCGTTAGTGCTATGGTTGGATTTGTCCACCTGATAGTTGGTTATATGGGATGACATAGCATTTTGCCCGTTCTCCAGCCTTTGACTACGCCTTTCCAGAAATGTGAAGAACACAACGGCTGTCGGAATTTTGTCAATGCCTGCGGCTTTCTCCCATTTGGTCTGAGTCTGGGTGACCAACCTTTATAGCAGCGTGTGCACTATTATGCATTCTGAGCTTTGCTCCAAACTGCCCAAAGTCTATAAGGTACGCATATGCGAATTGTCTCTGTCCGAGAACTCGCGTAGTTTTGAAGCCGACTCCATATCTCCCCTCTTAAGACCAAGAATCTCATTGATGTGTGCCTGGAAAACAAGACGCTTGTTAGTAAATCTTATATTAAGGATATCCAAAGATACACGATATTTGGCACCGGAAAACTCCAAAGATCAAACCGAATCCACCGCAGGGCCAGACAAACATGAGCGAAAATTCTGCAACCTTTCAATATTAGACAGCTCCGTATCATTGTCGATAACTGACTCAAACATCGCGATGATGTCCGAACATTCTGAAAGCCACAGGAAAACGTTGGGAATTTGAGCTCGGGCAAGCGCGTTCTGTGGGCCAAGATCATGGTTTGGTTTAGCAAGACGAAGAAGGGTTGAGTGGGGAGGGCCGTTAGATTGACGACGTTGAATATTTACGCGAACGCGACCTTCAACTATGGCAATCAACTCGTCAATATCATCGCGTAATTTGCTGCCAATTATATCGAAATTTAGCTCCTATAACGAGTTATACGCGGCATTAAAGGCAGACTTAATTTGAACAATTGGCAATAGGCGCACGTCTTAGTCGACGGGACAAGAGCTGTTAATTTTGTCCTCGTATAATTCATTTTAAATACACTTGGCTCGCTCGAACAATGGATCCGCCTTGCGCTTAAGAAAAGATACCCTGTTTGCCTGCATATCATTTGTGTTCTCGCCTTGCATCATTTTTTCACAAGCACAAAATCAGAGCATCAAACTGAGCATACAACATGCGACGAATTGTGCAGCTGCTTATGTATGTATATAAGCTGAGCCGGCGAATGAGTGCGCAAGGGGAAAAGCGCGAAAGTCAACTACCGTCGTTTATGTATTTGCGAATATTTGGAAGCTGTAAATTGTCAGCTCACACAGGCGGTTTGCAATTACCTAATTATAACAAGTTACAATGAATGTTTTACTTAAATGAATGTTTTACTATAATATATTCACTACAATGTTAAATCTCGCCGGGGCCTCCAAAAAAAATGAGTAACTATTTGGCTTTTTTACAACAACACGTATAATTCTGTTAATTTTATCGAATTTATATAAGTTACAAAGGTTTCTGGCTGTGGTTCAGAAATAGTTCTTCGCTTCGGCTCGATCAACAATGATTTTAAGAAGCTGCGACAAGTGCAATAGAGGCTTGCCAACCTTCTTCATAAGAAACAGCTGTTTCACTTGACTAAGACTACGACCTCTTACGTTTACATGAATGCAGATTCCAACAGTAGGGTTCAAGCTCGTAACTGACCGCATTACTTGCTGACGACGACTACAAGGTTTAATTCTGACTGTAGATGTTGGCAAGCTTTCCCATTCTATAAGCTTGTTGATATTACGGCTGTATCATCTGTGTATGTTGCATTAATTGTGTAATTACAAACTGGCATGTCAGCCGTGAAATGGGTGTACAAGGCAGGCCCTAAAACGTTTCCTTGCGGAACACGTGCATTTTAGGAAAGCAATGGCGACGATTCACTTTTTTGCTGCACGCAGAAGCATAGTTTACCCAAATACAACTTAAATAAATAGTTTGGTGTAGGTTGCCACTTCTATATTTTATATAATATACCGCTGTGCCAAACGCTATAAAATGCTTTTTGAACGTGAAGATATGCTGCAGTACAATATTTTTTGTTTTCAAAAGCTGATGTGATTTCATTTTTTACTCTGTGACACTGCTCAAGGTTTCCGTGGCCTCTTCTAAATTCGAACCGATGTTCAGGAATAATGACAAGTTTTTCAAAAGTTGGCAACATTCTATTTAAAAGTATTTTTTCAAATACTTTAAAAAAGGTTAACAGTAGGCTAATAGGACTGTGCGACGAAAGCTTATTTTCAGGTTTGTTTGGCTTTAGAGTCATAATTATCTTTGCGATTTCTTATTGGCTCGGAAAGTGGTATAGTCTGAGTATTGAATTGAATATAAACGTTAGGAAGCCAATGCATTTTGGAGGAACATTTTTTATAAATTACCCTTCGATGTTGTCAGAGCCTGGATCTTTTTTATTGTTTATCCTGTTACCAGTTCCTCGAACCTAATGTGACAAATTGGTATGCTTATTTGACGGGTTGAGTCAATAAACCATTCTTCTTACCTTTCGATTAGGAATATCATTTGTTCTATCATCAATATCATTGGTCCGAAATACCAAGTGAAAGTCCTCTTCAAATGCTTCAGCTTGCTCGTTACCTACACCATTCACCATTACTTTTACGAAGAGAGAGAGACTAATTTTTCAAATCAGACAATTTCTTGAGACCAGATGCTGCTTGATTATACAATCTTTTGTCAGCGAGGTATCAGATTGCCATAGATTCTGCAAATTTCTTTTATTTCGTACTTCTCGCCGGATTTCAGTTAAAATATAGTGCTGGCTAGCCCAAAACAGTGAACGGCGAATAGCATGTAGGGCGCTTGTGATTAAACTGTTAAAATGTGTGTGCCAACGAGCGAATATATATGGTTTGGCTTTTCTGTATCGACATCAATTAACTTGCATTTAACCTTACAAAACAACAAGTGAGATTTAAGTACATGTGATTTTTTGTTCAATGGTAAACAAATAATCTCTTTCACTAAAGAGCTCAATCGTTTATATTTTAGTATTGAATTGCATTATCTTGCTATCAAACAAAGGCTTTTCTTTGTATAAACAATCAAATATATTTGATCAGTTTTAAATATTTAAAGTATACATAAGCTTAAGATTTATATCGAGGGTAGGATTTCATGTTCACAAAAAGATTGAGTCACTTTCATTATTTACATTTATATACATATATTAAAGATATTGTTTGTGTTATAAATTTGCTCAAAACATTATTATATTTTAAGTGAGAAAACCATGCTTAAAAACTGTTCATAGTGGATTGTGATGACACCATCCATGTCGGTATCATGTTGCCGGAAGGCTGTAGTTAACGTCTGTAATTGGATCAATTATTATCGTTATTAGATTCGAATTTCATATATTCCTATAACGATTTCTAATAATGTGCGATTTACATGAATATGTGTATATGCAAATAAAAAATTGAAGCATACCGTTAGTAAAAACAAGAGGGTTCTCTAGTTAGGAGGGAGGGCACGACTAGGGGATACCCTGAATATTCTTCTATCAACTACATATGCAACTCGCGGTCTGTGCTTGCTTGCCTTAGAATTAATAATAACAAATTTAAGCAAGTAAGAGGTTCTAGTCGGGAGCTTCCGACAAGGGAATACCCTAGACCCTCTTATTCCAACACCAAATGCAGTTCGCATAACGCGCGGTGAGGTAGCGATAGGTATAAAATGAAAGATTTTTATAAATATATAATCGAGAAGTATCATATAAAGTTTGGTGACGCTAGCTCTTTATATTTACCCAATTTGCTCAAAAAACAGGATGTCGGTATCGATTTTTATCAATTATTTGGAAACTAAGTAAGTTATCGATTATCGAATGCAAACTCGATCTGCGCAGGCACTAGGAGGTCCTACAGCTAATTTCTAGTCTATGGCTCTTTTAGGTTCTGATATCATTGCGTTCATACATACAGACAGACGGACAGACGGACATGGCTAGATCGACTCGGCTATTGATGGTGATCAAGATTATATATACTTTATGGGGTTGGAGATTTCTCCTTTTATGCGTTACACATTTCACGACAAAATTATAATACCCTCTGCAAAAGTATAAAAAGATTTTAAGGCATTATTGGTGATCTTAAATTAATACATATTTACAACAGTATGACTAATAAGCCTGGGACAGAAAAATGGTGGTTGTTAACAATTTCAAATTTCATAATCACAACTGTTTTAAAGTAATCTTTGTTGTATCGCGACAAAATATTTGCTTAATACTTAACTTATTCATTGTGTTAGATACAATAAAATGAGAATAATAAATTAGGTACTCACATAGAGGACAATACAACATTGAATAAAATCGTCGAAAAGAATAGTTCCCCGGCCAAACCGGTCGAATTTCCGAAGTAAAATTTCAATGAGATGGTCAGACAAACGATAACCAAAAGAAGTCAGTGCGGTTTTAAGTTCTTGCTTATCAATGTTTCCAGAATTATCACGATCAAACGAACGAAAACAATTTTGCCAATCAGTTACATATTTCCACAGCGCTCCAAAATCCTGAAATGACACAGTTCCTCTATTTTCCCGATCAAACATCCCAATCATAAGTCGGACTGTTTCCGGGTTGAAAGCAGACCACGTGCCATTAGAAAGGGCCACTTGTAGCTCATCTGCCGATATATGCCCGCTTCTGTCTTTATCAACCCTATAATTGCAAGAAATATTATAAATACATTTAATACAGTTTGACGTTATACTTGTTTGTACATAAAAGACACATTCATGTATACTCAAGCATATATACATATGTACATATATGTACAGCTTTCAGCACATGAACGAATACGAGTACATATGATATAAACATATCAGCTTATACCTTTGAAATACGTCCCAAAGAAACGTTTGATCTGGCATTCCACTTTGTTGGTATGACATATTTTGTAAATTAGATAAACAATATTAAAAGCCTTTTAGCAATTTTACGAATACTCCCTCGAGCCTTAAATAGATACTAAGAATTCAATAGTCAGGTATGAGTCACAACTAGTATAAGTCGTAGGGTTCAGCGATATTTATTCAACCAGTTACAAGTATCTAGAATTTAAAAGTAACTAGTTACTGCTATCACACCTTTCAAAAGTAACAGCGACAAATCCTATGACATGCACGCATAGTGGATCAATGTTGAGGGCGAAATTTGTATATATTTGTCATGCCCCCTCTCAGCCCACCGCAAAATAATTAGCCGGACATTATATCTTATAATTATCGTCAATTAATCTTATTTTTTACTACATTATCTTCGTCATACGGTTATGGACAGTTAATATCAATCTCTAAAATTTCAGAGTACATTTCTTAACAACATCAAACTGAACAGACGACGAATGTACGGACAGTTCGCCAGTCGCCACAAAAAGCAGGAAAGTAAATAATTATAAATAATTGTACCAATGGTAACAAGGTACACACACATATATAACTATAACTGAGTATGTTACGATAATCAGTCGTGTAACGGGTATGTGATAAGCCAAATCGCTTGGTAGCCTATCCTTCGTGATAGCGCCGGTGATAAGTGTACCGAAGGGCATGGCTGACATGCGCCGCTAAGCCGAAAGCGAGCCCGGGTGGTAGGCCTCTCTAGCTCGAGAGCTTCTTGGACGGTCTGAAGTCTTGAGCGTGCATCCTTTCTTTGTCGGAACCGTTGGTCGTTTATTTCTATTTGTAGTACATATCGGATTGGCCGGCTAGAAACTTTTTCTCGAGTAATTTTGTTGTCGACTGTACATTTGGGCACCAACATCATTAGACACACGCATACATAGGTCACCGTTACTGCCCATATGCACAGCTGCATTTTTGGATCAACCGCCCAAATGAAGGTCAAGGGCATTGCCAAGGGCATACGATCCGCTCTCCTTCTAATCTCTTTAGCAGCGAATCGGGTGGCAAATCGCAATCGCCCTTTTCCATTAACCGTTAACCTGGCGCCGTGGATCGCAAACCGGACGTGCCACTCTTTATTTTATTGGTTGCCACTATGTGCCCAATACTCTGCCCACAGGATAAAAAGAAATCGGCGTGGTCGATTATACCGAGCGCAATCAACTACGTGAAAAATCGATGCTGCCGATAATGCCAAAAGCAGCATGACCGCTCAGATTATTGTAACGGCAAGTACACGACCATTACATTGAATCTCCGTACGAATATTTTATATCGGTCTACCCAGCCGGTTAATAAGAATGCCCAAGGTATGCCACACCCATCCTGAGATGTCAGCATCGGGACCGCTGCCGCCAGCGTCTCTGTAGGAGTTTCATTCGAAAACCGAAGTCCCTCTGGCGTCCTTGCCGTCAAACCCCTTGTCCCACTGTTTGAACTTTAGGTCCGCGCATCGAATTCATTAGCACCCGCTTCTGGCAGATATTCACCCGCTGAGTCTGACAACTCCCGGTGAACCTTGGATGCCTATTCCTTTCGGCGTCACTGGCGTGGAAACGTTCCGCGCTGTAGCCCTTCGTTATTCGGGATTGGGCTTGATTCCGGGTCCGGCGCGATGCACGGTCTGGAAATCTTTGAAGATTCATTGGCGTTCCCCTTAGATCATCTGCAGGTCGTGGAGGTTCCCAATCGGATCCCTGTTCCTCAGCTATGAATGACTTCTTACCTCAAGGCACTAACCTAACTTTTAATGAAACCAATGTGTGTTAATCTTACCTCATATCTCTACCAAAATCCCTATCCAAGACCACAAGATCTTACCTTCAATAATAAATAAGGCAATAAATAAAAACCGGCTACCAAAATAACTCACAATTAATTTAATATTTTTAATACATTTTCATACAAGTACTTCGAGACAAAATCCTAACGCAGGCTAACTAATCTACGCATAATCTAGATAATGGACAACATTAAAGCTTTCATCAAATGCTCAGTTCGTCAGTTTGACTGGGAGGAATGCCAAGGAATGCTACCTTGAAGTCTATTCGGTTTCTGTCACACTTCTAGACACATCAGAAGCATGCAGCATGACAGATGCGGTGCACGATCAAATCTATATCGTCCTGGGTCAGTTGGTTCTGAAGCTCATATAAATACGACCAGCACTCACCAAACGTAAACACAGAGTGAGACAAAACTAAATAGTTTAATAGCGTTACAACATCAAACTGAACAACCGACCTGCTAGTCGCCGCAAGAAGACGCAAAGCAGACAATTATAAAGTAATCGTTGCACCGATGGGAACAAGGTACCCACAAAATTATACCTATAACTGTATGCTACGATAATCAGTCGTTATGTCGGTATGTGATGTACCGAACCGCTTAAATTTACCTTACCCTACCTACAGAGCTCAGTGAGGGCGTTAATGGGCGATAGAAAAGACAAGTGTGAGTGTGTAAGTATAAAATATAACACTTTTATATATATAATAAGCATATGCAATAAAATTTGGATTGTTCACTCCCTGTTTGTACTTTAGGAAGTGATTCCTATGTGAAACTAGGCGTTAGTAATAATATAATTACCCATCATCTAATTAGCCCTCTTTCAGGAAGCTCGATCCTGTGTCTGCGTCTGATTTTGCTTATTACACAGGGTGAGGTTCGAGAGCTTCTTGGACAGCATGAAGTCATGAGCGTGGATCCTTTCGTTGCAGAAACCGTTGGTCGTTCTTTTATTTATTATCTTATCTATTATTTGTCCGTTTCGTGTCGCAAGCAGGTTTAAAGCTTTGAAATTTGTATGCCTCGTCAAAATGTTTTAATTTAAGTTTCATTATCAAACAACAACAAAATTCTTCGTTATTTTTGTTATAGTTCATATCAGCTTGGTTGGCCAGTTGACAACTTTTGCTCGAGTACTTTTGTACGCAGCCGACATGAAAAAGGAAAAAAAGCACGGCATGCCCGCCATTGACCGCTAACAAATATTTTAACTTCTCGACTGTACATTTTGGCAGTAACATCATTCGACGCACGCATACATAGAAAGGTGCGAATTGGGTGGCAAATCGCAATCACCATTTTCCGTTCCCCCTTGGCGCTTGGATCGCAAGCCGGTTGCTTCTATGTGCCCGATAATTTGTCCATAGGACAAAAAGATATCGGCGTGGCCAATAATGCCAAGCGCAATCAACGACGCAAAATATCGATTCTGCCGATAATGCCAAGTACTGTGTAACAGATCTGTACCCAGACTGTTCCCTTCGTACTCCTCAAAGAGCTGCGTACTGTGTCACTTGCCTCTATTCAGGCTCTTTCTTTCGTACTCGTCGAAGAGCTGATTCCTCTGTCACTGGCCTGTGCCACTAACCATGCAATCTTTTTCATCGTAACACAATTCATCGCAACAAGTGAGCCCCAAGGATGTGTGAGCCCATTTCAGTGTGCCCAGATAAAGCAAGACTGCTGAGAGTAGCAGCCGAACGCTGATTTCGGAAGCAAAACGTTCAGTAGAAGTCGCTTCTCGCTCAGCGGACGACGTGGCTGCGGCTGCTGCTTTTTCTTAATATTTGTATGCCAGTTTTAAAACCTACAGACCAAATACGTACCTCATACGTGCCTCGCTCTCACTTATTGCTCATCCCGGACTTGTGTGCATCTCTTTCTCCCTGCATAGCTTTCCACAAAACCTCCGGGACTTACAAACATACACATGTTTGTGTATGACGACGTTTGTCGCGAGCCGTTAATTTTTTCTTCAACCACGGGCGCAAAAGGCACACACATTCAAATGCTCTATTATTTTTTTCTTCGTCCAGTCAGGCAAATTGAGCAGATTCTGCTCTATTTGTAATAAATTACAATTAATTGACCTAAATGAAATATTTATATATTTCTTCTGTTTTCTGTAGGGACCTGATTTGCTTAAGATGCATTAATATCTACGTCGTATTTCTGAAAGAGTTATTTATCGTCGGCTTGTCCACAAATTCTAAAAAAGACAACAAATTGTAGTTATTCAACTTTTGGGACTTGCTACGTATGCACACGCAAACTTTTTCGAGTAAGTAGTTGAGTGATATTATTATAGGGTTTGGTCTCTTCATGTGCAAAATTGCTATCTTCCATGCTTGTTGTATGGGTAAGGGTAAGGGTATCTTTGGCAAGTGTGATATCTTTTTGGGCCGACCGAGCACACCCAATTTCACACGTCTCTATATGGTTGGAAGTATTTATGCGTTTGCCTGATGTAAATTTTACAAAATGTGAAGTTTTTTGCATATGTGAATTTAGTGTATATTTAATGGCTATAGTCAGAATCCAGATTGTGGCTTACGTTCAGGTTGCAAAGCTAAGATCGGTGTTACTGATGTGTACTTGGCTGTTATTTTGAACTTGCAACTATACGGCCTTTTAACTAACCAACTAACTTAACTAAAAATATCATGTTAGCACAATACCATATATTTTATTCATCGTAACATAATTTTATTTAAGTTGGATTACTTAAAAGTCAACTATCAGTCGCTGTTATTTGTCGCTGACATGTTTTGAACTCTCACAGTTGTCACTGTGACATAAAAAATAGCAATATCAATCATCCCTAATGGTTAGTGCTATCGCTTAGCTCGAAGCATTAGGGATAGTTCAAAACTATCGGAAAATCATCGTCAGTAATATAGTTGTTGGACGATAATCAACAATCGTTCTGCCATCGCGTTTTCTGCAAGTAATTGTATATTATATTTAATAAAAACACAATAAAGTTAAGTTTCAATGCTGGAAATGGAATCATGAAAAAAGCTACGTGGAATACACTCCACCCTCGACTTATTTGGAGTGACTTGTGTAGAGTGATTAAAACTAACAATAACCGAAACTTTGTGCAATAGGAAACACATCGATATATGACATAAATTTAAAAAGATCAATGAATCGATGTTTCGTCCACCAATAACAAGCGCTCTTCGTAGGATTCGGTTTCCAGGAATGAGCAGATGTGTTTTTTATACCCTTGTCTTAACTAATGCTAGTTATAATTGCTTATGTGTAGCCGTGGAAAGAAATTCATACATAGATATTTACGTGCATTGCAATTTACTTATTAGAAAACAAAATGGTATAAAAAATTCGTATGATATTTTAACTAGCTTATCTTACTATAGCTTATTTTAGCGACATTTTCTAATGTCTTTTCTTATTATTATGGCACTCACTACGATTTTCTACATATTGAGTGAACGTCCACATCGGGACTCCATAGAATCATTCAAATCCGACACTGGACACAGCGAAATGTAAGTATATTTGCATGCATATATGTTTTCATATGGATAAAGAAGTATGTTAATGTCTTTAGATAAATATATTAAATAATATATAATCGATTGCCCTTAGGAATAGTTTTTTTCGGCAATAAGTGCTGCTGAGAGTTTATATACCGTTCGAAGTAAGAGAATATGGCACAGACACGATTTTTGTTATATTTTGGCGCGTTCGACAAGCTATGACCAAAGACAATATAAACACTAAGATGAGTAACGCCCATACATTTGAATGCGACGCAAAATTTCTAGCCGGCCTTTCATCTGGCCTTTGAGGCTTCGTACGGCATGCCTACCGACTGGTTGTTCGTTCTCCAAAGACCAGACGAACGAATGCCGAAGTCGCGGCTTGCTGATGCTGACACGAGCTACGAAATTAGTCACCAGCCTACCTTCAGCAAAGCTGATCGATGCTGCTTTGCGTCGCTTCGTTTTCGAAGTGCATTGAGCTAAAAAGTTTAGAACTTACGATCGACGCAAAGTGCTTGTGCTTTTTCCATGAAATGCATGCTTTATTTAAATGATATATTACCCTAGATATTAACAAATAATTTTACAGGAAAATTTAAGAACTTTTATAATTTTTACACAAGGCGCTTCTTGCGCAATAACTATGTTAAGAAAATAGCACACATAGATTGATTTCACTTTTATTTTTGGACAGTGTATGCTCGAGAAGAGTTCTCGTCTCAGCCAATAGCGAGCGTGCACCTTTGTATGCGTGAATTATACATGCATAAGAACTTTAAAGTATGTATGTATGTGTTGATATTCACTGTTCTAGCTTTAGCTGGCAAGAAATTAATTTTGTTAGTTTTCTAGCGCAGATCATGCCCTATCCCAAATTTGTGTTGATATATGAATGCATGAGGTTGGCTCCGCAGAAAATACCCGAAGGTCATATTTAGTTATGACCCCATTATAATTATAATGGTCTCCTCGCGGTGTTCCCTGCGTACTTTGTTCTTTATAATTCGAACAACAAAAATAATAAAAAAAAAAAAAAATAATTAAATGTATCTTTCAAAAAATAATAATTTAATTAATAATTTCAAATATAAAAAATTACATAAATATTTGCATCGACTTAAAAATACAAATTTTTTTGTACGGAGTGCACAAAATGCATTCATATATCAACAGAAATTTTGGGAAGGTCGTGATCTGCGCTAAAAAACTAAGAAAATTGTTTCTTTGCCAGCCAGAGACTTTGTCAGAGCAGTGGATAACAACACATTCAAATATGCTGTTATGTATGTATATTCACACGCATAAAAACATAATTGCTTGCATGGCCGTCACAGAGCCGAAGCTGAGACCAAATTCTATTTTTAGCTTTTTCGTTCTCTCGGCTGTGAGAGCGTATTGCTACAGATTTCGTTTTCGTTCTCAATTTTCAAAAAAACAAGCTGTATAGTAGCATTTTGTTGTATGGCGTTACTCATCTTAGTGTTTATATTGTCTTTGCTATGACCTTATCTAAAGCTTATTCCATTGTCATTAGCTATCTATCTTCTTTAATCTTTAATCCCTGACCCCATTAAAAATGGCTAAAAAGGGGATATTGTGTTGCAAAATGGAAATGTATGTAAATAGGCGGAAGAAATCATCTCCAACCGCAGAAAGTATATATATGTTCTTGATCAGCTTCAATAGCAGAGTCAATCTAGCCATGTCCGTCTATCTGTCTATCCGTCTCGTATGTATGATCGCAAGGATATTAGAACCTATAAGAGCTAGAGATTTGAAATTTTAGCCGTAGGTCCTCCTAGTGCATGCGCAGATCGACTTTGTTTCCGATGTTCGATAATTTGCCCCGTTTCAAAGTAATCGATAAAAATCGACGTCGACGTCCTGTCTTTGAGAAAATTGAGTAAATATTAAGAGCTAGAGGCACCAAACTTGATGTTGCTTCTAGAATATTATATATATATATATAAGTATTTTTCATGTTATACCTATCGCCACCTTCCTGCTACCACCGCAGAGCTATCAAACTAGTTAAAAAACCAATTTATGCTGCCCTCCAATATAAGACACAATTTAAATGCAATTGACTTTTCAGAACACACAAATATTGTATGGCACAATAAGATATACTATAGACATTTTTTTTAATTTTTATGTTTTACTGCGCAAATGGATAGGGCAGCTAGCGCAAACTGCAAGAATTTCTGTATACATGTACATGAATTCTATCAACAGGATTGCAATGGCGATTGTTTTCAGTGCTGCTATTTTAAAGCAGAGGCATAGCGGGTGGAGAAGTCGGTCGCGATATCGAGCCCTACCGGGGAAACAGTTTTTTTTTATACCCTGAACCCATTGAAAATTGCTAAAAAGGGTATAATGTATTTGTGTATGTAACAGGCAGAAGGAAGCATTTCCGACCCCATAGATTATATATATTGTTCGATATAACCATGTTCTTTTGTTCGTCGGTCTGTCCGTGTGTCCGTATGTACATATGAACGCAAGGATCTCAGAACCTATAAAAGCTAGAGACTTGAAATTGAAATGGAATGTAGGTCCCCCAATCGCATGCGCAGTACACTTGCCAACGTCAGCTGGGGACAAGGGCAAGAATTTCTGTATGTACACACACACACATTCAGTGCAAGAATTAAGTCGCAAACCACTTATTTCGTGTATTAACTAATCGAAGAGATTGGCAGCTGCCAAAGAGTTTAAATGGAAGCTTTTAACTTACTGGAACTATGCCCTATTCTCGAACGGTAAATAGTTATCGCTTAGAATACCGAATTAAGGTATGGAGAAAACCCAATACGGCAATACTTTTCGCATTGTACCCAGCCTTGTGTAGTACCCTCTGTAAAGTTTTGGGGCGAATTCGTTTCCCAGTCGCTTTAACCTCTGATACTATTTAGGATGATAAGATTTTTGATCTTACGTATTATTTTAGCGCAATCATGACCCATTTACTTTCGTGGGCGGCCGGTGCGTTCAGCATTTTCTAGCGTAGGGTTGTCCAAAAATCTGCGGATTAATTTCTTAATAGGATCTGCTGTGTTTACGTAAATTTATTTTAATTTTTCGCTGCTCTACTACGGTGGTTTCACACTTCTTAGCGGCCATTTTTGCAAAAAACGGCGCTTACAGATTTGCATTTTGGCAATGAAAAGTGTGACCACATAAAAAGAATATTAAAATAACGTTTTATTGAAAATTGACAATACATTTGTCCCTATAAAATTACAGATATTTGGAATTAAATAGTTATTAACAATTGGCCATTCCGCCAACATTTATAAAAATAATTTGATCGCCTGCACAAATAGCTAATAATCGTATAAAAATGATTAAGTAACATGGTCATTTACGAGTTCGAATCCTATCGAGGGAACTAATTTTTCATATATAAAATATTTACTGGCTGGCTCGAGGTCCGGGTTTCAGGTGCACATCGGCAAAACGTCATCAAGGCACTAATACCAAGATACAAAAAACAAGATTACGTTAAGTTAAACAATAATTTGAACATTTTATATACATTATTTTACACGTCCGTGCTTTCTGACGTAGAGACTGAAACTGAGGCTCTTTGGCTGTTTAAGATATGTCTGTACATGTGAGTGCAATTTTCTGTGTCTGTCTTGTAGTTTAGTCGTTTGTTGGAGGGTGTGTCAATTATGTGTAGCATTATTGTTGTTTCATTGAAATTTGGTGTGTGATTGCTTCTCATGCTGCTAAAAAGAAAAGCGATCGTAGAGCATTTGGTGTTGTTAGAGGAGGGTTCGGGGCATCCCCTAGTCGGGAACTCCCGACTAGAGCCTCTAATTTGTTGGTAATATTATAATTATGAAAAAATTAATTTCATTTGATTTTTGTTTAGCAGCTGGATAACTTTTCTGTTAGACCAGGAATCTGAAAATAGAAATTTGTTATTTATTTTATTTAAAATTTCTTTAAATTAATATATTTTTATTTATTAACCAAATTTGTATACAATTTCATAGGCGACATAGGCGTCCCACCTATCATATTGTTGCAGTCGCCTGTGGCCAGCGAGCCCAAGAGACTTTAGTTATGATAAAGTCGGCTATCCTTTTTAATTATTATCACGAATGCCTCAAGTTCTTAATATTTACTGAAGATCCATTAACTGAAATAATAAGAGAGAAGCTGACGGACTGGCGTGATACACTCCCCCAACTCTTTGAATTTGAGCTTTTGCCATTAAAATTTCCAAATCAAAGTGAAATGGAGTGGAAAACCCTTTTTAAGCCATGTGCTGCACAACGCCTATTTTTGCCGGTAAGAACTTGTTGCACGAAGATAAATATTGTTTTGCTTAAGCAGTTAAAGTTATGTTTTATTTGTATGCACTAAGGCTCTAAAATTTTATTTTAGAAAACTGAAGATAATTTGTATATTTTAATTTATTTCTAGTCCCTATTGACGGAGGTCGACTCGTTGTTATACGTTGATACAGATATTTTATTTTTATCTCCGATAACGGATATTTGGAAATTTTTTGACAAATTTAATGACAGTCAAATCGCTGCTTTGGCGCCTGAGCACGAAAATGGAAATGTTGGATGGTATAACCGTTTTGCACGGCATCCTTTTTATGGTGAACTTGGAGTAAACTCTGGAGTCATGCTGATGAACCTCACACGCATGCGAAACTTTAATTGGGAACAACATGTATTTCCTATTTATAAAGAATATAAGTTCCGCATAACCTGGGGTGACCAAGATATTATAAATATACTTTTTTATTATCATCCCGACAAACTACATATTATTCCATGTGAATACAACTATCGCCCAGATCACTGCATGTATATGACAATTTGTAATACTTCTTATTCAGGAATAAAATTGATACATGGTAATAGGGGCTACTTCCATTCCAAAAAGCAACCATTATTTAAAATAATTTATGATTCTATTGAAAGTTTTCAATTTAGTTCTAGTGTATACACCGATTTTTTGTTGCCGCTTCGTTCAGCATTAAGGGCCCAATCTGTTAATGAATCTAGTTGTGGAAAAATTGCAGGTGATATTCTCTTTGTGGCGAATATTCTTTTCGGCGCTAGTTATTAGATACTAAGTATTGACTATTTTTAGTACTCGCTTGCCTTACAGTCCATAGTGAAAATCGCAGCTAAGTTAAAAGCCGTAAAATTGGGATATATTATCCATCTCCATT